GGGATTATGCCTATTTCAAACAAAAATTATGGAAAATTAGACAAGATGTACGATTTTGAATTGACCTTTTTCGGATGATAAATTGAGTTTATATTGATTAAAGGAATATTATGCATAAAACATAAAATAAAGACCAGAGGTATAGTCCCTAGAGGAATGTATAACAAATAAAACAAGCTTCGTTTGAAGATGATTAGTCAATTAGTTATTGAATTATCGTGCACGCCAATTTAAAAGACACGGTTTCGAGAAAAGCGCTGTTAAAGTTTTCTCTGGTACATATATGCGTGACACGCTATGTTCCAACAGGTTACAGTTCTGTCAATTCTTCGAAATTCCGACCCAACACCTTGGGAACATATTCTCAAGATATAAAACTACCGATTTATGCAAAAGAAAAATCGATTTTTTGGACCTGTTAGATGAGAAGCCCCTCTAACCGATGCTGCCACTCGAGGATTTATTGTACGACCTCGTTTATTTCTTCCATCGGCTGCAATTGACAATTAATTTTACGATATTATAAAATGTACACAATGAAAAGCAAATAGGATCTTCGATTTGTCTTTTAATAAAAAAAAATATTCTCAAGCGAATTGTCTAAACTTAAAATAGATACGTTCAATTTTCTAATATTGTATACAGAGTGGTCCATCTAATGTGACCACTCCAATTATTTTCGTTGTTAGTGGAGCAATCAAGAATTTTTTTTTTTGTCATACAGAATACGGTTTTAAACGATTTTCAAAGTGACGTTCGTAGATTTTTTCTGCCTTTTTTTTTAAGTAAGCTATCAAGGTCACGTTTAATTTCTTATAAACCAGATGCTCGGTATACGTTTCGAAAGTGCGAAATACTGTATGAAAAATTTGACATATATTAGGTCAATGGATTCGGAATATTATAACAGTGTCGGTCAGTGGATTGAAAATTATTTTCAATATTTTAATTATACACTGACTGTCAAACGGGACGTATTCTGGCAACGCAATGCATTGTCGAAATTCCCTGGTCGAGAACGTATCTGTTTGACAAAAGATGTCCTTGTAACCGAAAACATAGTTAACCGTTCACAAAATATCACCTTAAGTTTCATTTGGCATGGCATTTGCGTTAAACTAATTCGAGTATACCGAATGATTTTAATAGCCATAAGCACGAATGGATTGTAGTAACATAGGGAGCCTTTCTATGAAGATAGAGCAAACGAGACTGCGAGATTAGATACCGTCGCGTTCCTACTCGACTGCTTTGATTCGTTAAAAATTATAAACAATCGAACTTAGTAGTGTTCTAGGAAGTGGCGTACTATGCTCGCTTTCGAAGGACTACGGCATTACTGTTGTTAACTTACGTTATACATTATTCTGAGGTAGTATTCGTTACAGTTTTGTTAACATGAAGTGACAACGGACCCAGTGCTGCGAGTATTGCATTGATACTGGCATAACTCAACAAATGTCAATTTTGATTTTATTGCACAGATAGATTCCATAGATACAGTATTTTTATCATCTAAAACGGTACATTTCTAACTTAATTAGTTTCACACCAGGGAACAGATCAGATTATACAATCAGTATTCAACTTAGTCGAATGCAAATTTTATACTGCTTTTCCGATAAAATTTACATTTTTTGAGTTATGTCGTTATCAATGTCAAGCACCGAGATTTCAGTTATGATGTTTTATATCATTGCGATTTTATACATTCCCTTTTCACTTCTATCAATCTTCTTTCATATTTACTACCTTTACGATTATGTTTTTGTTAAATTATCTGTTTGTTGGGAGTGATTGGGAGATAGTTCATACGAATTTACGTCTATACATACATGCATATACAACTACCGGCCAAATGTATGGAATCACCGTACATTGCAAGTTGTACAAAAATTCCCCCAAAAAGTTAACATTTATAATAATTTTTTAACGAATTTTTTATCACTCAAATCAATCGACACGAGGTGAAGTACTATTGATATTCACAACATCAATTTCAAATCAATAAAGAATTAGTAGCAGATTCAATGTTAACCCTTTGCACTCGAGAGGCGACTAAGGAGTGACATTATATTTGCAATTAGAGGCAATTCTAAGCATGATATTTTCCAAGACAGCAAGTCTTTAGAGATCTCAGCAGTGAAATAGTTTGAAAGAATCAACTTCTAATAAAAATATTAGTTTTAAAAAATCACATTAATTTTTACTACTTCCTTAGGTTAATAATAAATTGGCAGGTGATTCGAAACTTTTGGCCGGTAGTGTATGTATACACTACCTGCCAATTTAGATAAATTGAATCTGCTATTAATTCTTTATAGATTTGAAATTTATGTTGTGGAAATCAATAGCAATTAACCACATTTCAATTAATTTGAATGATAAAAAATTCATTAAAATTTCTTAAAATTGCTAACTTTTTTCTGGAAACTTTTGTGCAACGCGCATTGCACAGTGATCTTAATCCTTTGGCCGGTAGTCTTGTGTATATATATGTAACAGATTTAATAATATGTATACACCTATGGTAAGTTTATTTACACTTTATAATTCATTTTCTTTCATGCAATATTGTTTAGTTACGATAACGGTAATTTAAATGTGAAGGAATTGTGGGAAACCTCTGAATTACCATTTCTAAATCCTAAATTCCGTATGTTCCATATAATGTAATACTTACAAGTAAGCAAAATATCCAACGACTATAAGAAAAATGGTTTGCAAGTTTCTATTATATCGATTTTGTTACGCATTATTCTTAGTAACATTTCTTTTGTTTCTTTAATACATGTATTCTTTTGACAATATATTGCAGATTAATTTGAACAAGGTCTAAATTTGATTTCGAATGAAACCTATCTGCATTCATTACTATTCGCCTCCAACTCTGATTTAACGACTACAAAACTAAAGACACGTATGAGACTCAACTCTTACTCAATTGGTAAAGAAAATATTAAAATTTGTTTAACTTCGCCGGTCTGTTACACGTTACCGCTCACTGGTCGGGTGCGCCCGCAGGTAACAACGACCTGAATACTCTTATGATGTCCTTTTTTCTACCACATCAGAGTAAACGTTTCTTTAAAGAATAATCATAATAAGAAATAGAATTAAAAAATTCCTTAAACAGTAACGGACTACATTTCCCTGTACAAATAAGTGAGGGATTAAAAAATGTTCAACTTTGCAAAACAAAAAGTATACAAGATATGAAATGTCTGAAGCAACGTCTAAATGAATGTAAAGAATGTACTTAAATGAAATAATTTATTGGTACATTTAACACCTTATCGAATAATGATTGACGATATTAAAATGTCGTAAACCTTGTTTTCTACCAATTACGGAGTAAGTGTAACTTTCAAATATAATTCTCAAAACTGAAAAACATATGTCAGTATGCAGAGATATGTGTATAGTCCTTATCTCGCGGCAATTAGGCGTAAAATAGTGACGTGTTGTCGAGTGTCGTGGTTAATCCGAAAAGTATCGAGGTTAACGGTCATCGGTAAACTCTGCAGCACAGTCAGACATTCCATGTTTTGCAACTGATTTAATCAGTATCGTGCTTAATTATAATTCCTCTAATGATTAAATCAAGTGTTTGTGTACTAAGATATCGAATACACGAATATTTGCTTGCTATCTTTAATGGACATACACATACGTAGTACATGTACTTACAATTAGAGCATTGAAACTGAAGTTGATATGAAGAGGAGCACGTTGAACATTTATCGTCGTTGAAATCTTCTGTACATAAATATTAATTGATTTATTCAACTTAATAATATCAAAAGCACTTCATTTCTTTTTACCTTTTTCTTAAAAAGAAAAGGAGAAGAAAACATTCAGTGTGAGGCAAATTCAATAAATAAAAGATATACGATGTTTTCCAAGGGAACATAAAACCGTGTTGACCGATTTAATCCGATATCTTTTCTATCTTTCCTGATAAAACAAAAGTTAACCGAGGAAATTAATTTTTGTTTGTAGAAATGAAAATCTACCTCGTTGCTTTTCTCACACTGATAACGGAATATGCTTTTGTAATATTTGTATGCACAAGTGCGTAAATACGTATGTATATTTGTTGGAATACGAAAAGATGCACGTAAGGAAATTTCTGCACTATCTTGTTTGCCTGCTTTCCAAGATTTTCAAACGAAGAAACGAACACATTATTCGTGTTTCGAACTCCGAAGTCGCGATAAACGCGAATCATCCCATTGTGCTACCACATTTCATCCGATAAGAATCTAATCGAAAACAGTGCTCGTCTTGACGCGTGAGACACACTCTATATAAGGCTAAGAGAGAGGTTCGCGTACAACCTTCTCTGAGAGTCGTATCATTGAACGCGGTTCGACAGCCGTGATTCGTTCAGGCGATAGCAACAGGTGCGTTGATCGGTTCCCTCGGGAAAGGAAAATACACACAGTGTAAATGAGAATAGAGAAATATAAGGAGGGTGAAGCAGGCTGAAAGGTGCACGGCGAAGGAGGAGCGGAGAGGAGGGGAGAGAGGGGGCAAACGGAGAGGGGAAAATCAGTGGTGAGGGAACGGGAACGGGAGCGTTCTCCGTTCAGTCAGTCCAGCGAAGTCCGTCGAAGGTGAAAAGTCTCTCCTTCTTTCTTCTTCTCTTAGTTGTCGCAAACGACAGAAACTCCCCACGATCACCTTGCCCGTTACTTTTAACGCGTAAATACACGCGTGGTCGCGGCCTAGTATAGATACTACACGGTGTAATTGAACAGTGCGCGTGTGTGATAATGCCGTGTCTGTGAGTTTTCTATCGTCCTCGGGAGATATTGGTGTCGATGCTGTATCAAATTCGAAGCTACTAAAACATCGTGAACTGGTTGCATCGATGAAAACTTGTCGACTACTAAGTACGTTTCAGGATCTAACACTTGATTAGCCGTCGCCATCTTCCTCCTACAGTTGACAGCTTGAGTGCATATGAAAGTTTTGCGTTGTTCCTAGCAGATAGCCAGATCAATTCTGCCGATTTCAGCCTACTATGTTGGAATTCTCCGTGCAACATGCCGAAGTCGGTACGTACACGATCATTTGATGTCCAGCATGCTGCATAGTGTACGTGGATCGCATGTGGGAAAGAAAGTGCTTTCTTGTTTGTCCGTCTTTTGTGTAACTCGTGGTTGACCTTTGAAGGACACACCTGCACACTGTGAAGTGATATGAAACGTCTTTTCTTTCTGTTCTTTTTTTGCCTTATCCACATTGTTCTAGTGGCTTTCCGAGAGATTCTCTTGTTTCTTTGAAACTAATCCGCTTTCCAGGATAAGCGAGTATACAAACTTCGTTCGAGTACACAGTTACTGGTACATCTAACAATCAGCATTGATATATGAACAACAGTAAAATCTGTACTGTTTTGTTTTTCCTACTATTGATATATTATTCAGCTAAATTTGTCTGTTAGCATATTTCTCTTGTTTGAACGTTTCCATTAAAACTTATATGTAATCGTTAAAACTGGTTACTTCGTATATTAGACGCGCGAACACGTATGCACGCACAGAGAGGGACAGAGAGAGAGAGAGAGAGAATGTAGGTAGAATCGTAGATATCTATATTAAACGTCGCAATAGAGTCAACTATAAGTGTAATAAAGGATCAGGGCGATTATTCAATTGAGAACTATTGCCATTCGAGGTTCAAGAACGCGAGGCCAGTCTTCTGCAAAAATTTACCTGAGAGTTACACCCATTTTTACGCTGGCTTACATTGCTTATTTTAGGCTGCTCGGTATTGGCTGATCAAACTGATACTCCTGTAATTAGTTACTGGAAAGAAAATAAAAAACATTCTTATACTCGTAAGGTATACTTGTAACGGTCGTTTTTACAACGACGTTTGCCTTCATCCTTCAAATGATTAGTGGAGGTGCACGATTGCTTAGAAGAATTTATTATGAAATATGATAAAATAATCTTACAATGTTATACTTTGTGACTTTCATATTTCATGTCTGTTTGTCTTGTAATTTACAACGTAAATCGTGCAAATTAATTTATTACGTTTTTGACAATAGTTTCACTTTTTCCTCCGTTATACCAAAAGAACATAAATAAGTAGTTATAGTCTTACAGATACAATATATTACGATTCTGCTTTGATAGTATCAATAATTTGTTTAAGTTATGCGACGTGAAACTGATGATGCGTTTGCTTATTTTTAATGCATGCGAGGGTACAAAGATTATGCTTTCGATAGTTGTTATTTTCTTTATCGAATTGAAGTACTTTTTTGCTATTTCTTGTACACAATTAATTTATTCGTTGTTGTCGAAGTTTGAATCAATTTCTAATACCTAGCATACAGTGCTTGGCATGCTGCAGTGTTGTTATAAATGTCCAAATTGTTTTCATCCGTCCCTACGAAATGACTGTAAACGTTCCGTTTGATCATATAATCACAAATTCATAATAATGCTACATTCAAATTTGATATTCACTTCTATAAATGTAGTAATCATTTTATTAACATGTGAAAATTTTGATTACTCTTGGAATCAAATATGTTATTCAAATTTTCGGTTTTCGCCTCTTATTAATTAAATTAAATGGTACTTACTCGAGTCTGACTTTGAAACTATTTTTGAAATTTATTCGCTTAATAAACAAAGAAAATTCTTTGCATGATTCTAACCTGAGTTTATCATGATTCGAGAAGCGTATCTTAATTAAACAATTAACAAAATCAAAACTGTAAATCCTTGAATACAAATGAACGAAAACTATCAATGAATTCATGTTTCTATTTTGTTTATTGTTGTCGTTCCTATTCATTTGTAGGCAGAGAGCAATCTAAATGTTGTATACCTACACATATGATGTATATGTTCAGTTAGCCGGTTAAGTTGATAATTTAGTGGTTAAGTACGTTGAATGGAGGAAATTGAAAAATATCTTAAAAACGTCATACCGATATTATATAAATAGATTTCACGGTCTTTGAACCTACTAACTCTACCTGAAATTTTGTATGCGGAAGGACATAGTATACATAAATGTGTGTGTGTACGCACGTGCACGTTTATGTGTGTGAAGTTCTCCATTGGATATACTACATTATCTTGAACGTGTCGATCAACATTTTTAGGGTTTTATTATCCAGACTTTCGCTACTTATTCTCAACGAATTTGCGTGTTTTCTCATTTGACATCTGCAAATAAAAACCTACAATAGTCCTTGAACATAGTTATGCGATTATAATGTAAAACAAAACATTAAATACAAACAGTTCCTATAATTGTCATAATAAAACGTGCATAAATACAACGAATAGCAATCGTCACAACGAAAATGTACTGATTTAAAATTATATCGTGCCTTGTAATTTTTCATAAACTCGTATTTGCTTTGAAATTTTCAAATTTCTTTTGAGGTTAGAATATGCTCATTTCGCTATATAACTCTAAACCCAATGTATCAAAATTACAAATTTAAATCATTAATGCATTCATAAATGGAGATACACATGCCTGTTAACAGCTGAAGTATTAATCTGTTATTGTATGGTAGTTATATAATGAATTTCAAAAATGTTTACTGTCCGAAACTCACGTTCCATTGACGCACTTACTCAATAAGATTCCTATCGTCGCGTCGGTGACAATATCAAATACTGTTATTACAGCGGTTAGTAATTTAATCGGTCATTTGATTTTATATATTAACCTTTAGCATTTGGACTTGTTCCCACGTAAATCTACTAAAAACTCGGACTTATTTCGATGTCACCGAATGTCTAAGAGACATTTCGAAACGTTGTTTGTGAATAGGAGGAAATACTTCAAATTTTATGAATTAAAGGAACATACACTGGTGTTCATACGGAAAATATTCAATGATTTATTCAACGTTAGTATCGTATATCAGTAAAAATATACAGGGTGTCCACGTTGTTACTTTCCAACCTTTTTCGCGTAAGTGAGATATACATATATTTTTGTGAAAAATAGAAGAGGACAAAGTTCCGTTATTTTTTATATGTAATGCAACGACTTGAACAGATTTTTTAAAATTTGCTATGATTTTCGCGTACTGACGATACTATACATTTTTTTTAAATCAATAACTATAACTTATTGTATATTATATGAAAGCGGTTACCGAGACAAGTTCAACGAACTACAGCGAAACTCATTTTCAGACACAATTTCGTGACAATATTTCGTGCGGTTCAATCAAATGGCACATTATTAGAATCTTCTCTTTATAACGGCACATTATTTAGATGTTTTATGTACTACTAAATTCCAGACTGAATTATTCTTTTTTTCAAGATCCGAACAATTTTGTAATGACTGTTTACATCTGTTTCACATTCAACAAGTGTCATAATGCTTATGAACGGGAGTGTACATTTTTAAAGTTAATGGTAAAAACTGGCGCTATTCGAATAATATGATAAAATCGATGATATTAAAACATCACTTTCAAATCTTACGTAGTCACAACCATAAGTGTTTTCCGGAACTATTCTGCAAGTAAGCTTGTTATAAAGTTATCCTCGTTGAATAAGAATTATCATGACTTCTTAATGTGTAGTCGACATTGTAGTTTTTTCCGGTCTGTTGTACAGCCACGATTTTTGTATTGCACGTTCGTATGTCATTGATCGCGTTGAAGGTTTTTTGATAGTAGGGAGTAATTGATTACACTCTGCTCCGTGTATAGCAAACTAATTGATCATTCTGCTAGTTAGATGAGTACAGTTTTTAAATGAAAATAAGTACACTTGATATAATACTTATATTGATTCAATTCACGGTGGTCTGTAATCACAATAACTAGCGGAAATGACTAGATCATTTATTTATATAATGATTATAATAATAGTCAAATTAAATGACGATAAAAATTACCTATACAATTACTGTCACTTAAAATCGTACGCCTTACGGTTTAGCTGATTTTTTCCTATGAAACGTGAAAATCATACGAAATTATGTGAACTCATACAGAAGTATGTAGTTTAATGGTTCTTTATTTAATGTGATAAAAATATAACAAAAATTTTAGTAATATTCGACAAAATTAAATTAAATTTGAACTTAGCTGTCGGTAAAAATCGCACACGTTGGTAAAACTGTAAAGTTAATGAATCTCCGACTTTTGTTTGCTCAACAATACTTATAAACAATTGAATGTAATTGGATTAGCTACGTTCTGTTGGTCCTGTCTATTGTTTTACCAGAAGGTAAAGGAAAAATAGTTAAACTGCCACTAAATACAGTAGCGAAGCGTGCGTTTGTTATTTATCACTATAAAAATAAAAAGAACTTATAATAAAATTAGACAAGATTGTTAATCGAAGCTGAAGCACAGGTTAGTGCATAATAAAACGATGTAGGAAAGAGAATTGTTTGTCAAATAAAATGAAAGAAAGGTCAGATAAGATGCTGAATTTGAGGATTGAGGATTCTTAAAAGAATTAAGGATGATCCGAAGATTAGTACAGCGACGTTAAGAAATATTGAAATAAAAAAGTAAGAAATTCAAATATTACAAGAACACTAAAGAAAAATAATTGTCATGGTAGAATTGCCCGAAAGGCGCCATATGTAACTGTACAAAATAGAAAGAAGAGATGTT